CAGATGAAAGTAAAAAGGATACAATTCTTGGTGATTTTGCGTACATAAGCTATCTATGTTTATTTATTTATCTATGAGTTTACCCCATATTTACCGCATGTTAACCTCATGTTTACCCCATGTTTATACCATGTTTATCCCATGTTTACTCCATGTTTACCTCATGTTTACCTCATGTTTACCTCATGTATACCCCATGTTTGCCCCATGTTTACCACATGTTTACCTCATATTTACTCCATATTTACCCCATGTTTACCCCGTGTTTACCTCATATTTACCCCTTGTTTACATCATGTTTACCCCATGTTTACCCCGTGTTTACCTCATATTTACCTCATGTTTACCCCATGTTTACCCCGTGTTTACCTCATATTTACCTCATGTTTACCCCATGTTTACCCCGTGTTAACCTCATGTTTACCCCATGTTTACCCCGTGTTTACCTCATATTTACCTCATGTTTACCCCATGTTTACCCCGTGTTAACCTCATATTTACCCCGTGTTTACCTCATGTTTACCCCATGTTTACTCCGTGTTTACCTCATATTTACCCCGTGTTTACCCCGTGTTTACCTCATGTTTACCTCATATTTACCCCGTGTTTACCTCATGTTTACCCCACGTTTACTCCATGTTTACCCCATGTTTACCAGACTATTTACCTCATGTCCATCCATCATAAGTTTATCAACTAAATGAGATCCAACAAACCCTGCTCCACCAGTTATTAGAATTCTTTTCCGATCTTTGTAACTTCTGGAAAAATAAAATTAGTGATAAAAATGTTATTTTCTCTCTCCAGAATTTGAAGCGGGGCTTGGAATGATTCTTATTGATTTTTCTCTCTTTTCCCCTCTTTTTATATTTAATCATTGATAAAAATATCATTTGCTGATTAAGTCCACGATTATGCAGAGTTTCCCACGAGATATTACAGTAAAGCTTTGGAGCTATTTGCGGCATTCTTGAATGATTCGTTAAGAAAATTATCACAAAATTCGTATAGTCCTAGCATTTCCAAAATGTAGTCTGGCATTTTTTTGCCGTAAATATTAGCGGAAATATTAAAAATATTAGTTCACACTTCAATTTATTTTTAAAACTAAACTTGTCGAAATTTTAACAACATTTTTAAAATATCTTTAGTGATTTGGATAGTACAGAAAAATAAACGGCAGTCATATTTTTTTATTCCAGGACTAGGGGTATTTTGTTTGTATTAACTCTAGAATTTTACTTTTAAATTATGATGTGTACGAATAAATGCCGCAAATTATTTCAAAGATCAAAGACGACCTTCAAACGGTCTGGTTACTGTCATGTTTCGTGGGACACCCTGTATAGTAACAATTTCATTACATATATTTCTCCGTGGAAATGTTCAAAGTCAAGTGTTCAGTTTTAATGAGAAGTAAAGTGCTGTTCAAATAAACCGGAAAAATTTGTTAATTAATTAAAGCTTGAAAGTCGTCTTTGACCTAAATTTATTTAGAATAGCAGTGTTTATTTCTTTTTAATCAAGAAATCAATGTACTTTCTACAAAGGATCGGCGTTTATATCGATACAATGAGACAACCATTTTATTTAAGTTTTAATTTCAACAAGGTTTTTAATATTAAAAGTTTCCAAATAAACAAAGAGGAACTATTATTTAATAGCTTCTCTTTGTTTGTTTTTGTGTTTGAAAGCGTTGTAGAAATAAATATTAAAATCGAATGTCGTCTTTATTGTATTAGATATTCGACGACGAATGTACAATATTAAGTGGAGCTCTGTACCTGAATTTGATATCAGGATAAGCCTGCTCCGGGGGTAAACGAGATGCTAGTAGTTCAAGCTTCTCCTCCAGTATTCTTTAAAAAAAGGGAAATATATAAATTATAATAAATGTTAACTATAAGCGTAATTTCAAGTGACCCCTCTATGCAAAGATGGCAATGTCCGATTTACAATGGTGACTATGGGAGCTCAGAACCCTGGATCAGTGAAATCAATGGTTTCCAGAAATTAATATTAATTTTAAAACTTTATAAACAGTTTCAAGTTAGAGTAGCAGTTGAAATTAAAAGTTTAAGAGGAGTAAAAGAAGCAGATGAAAGTAAAAAGGAACAAATTAAGGTTAAAAAAACAGATGAAAATAAAATAAAGGAAAATAAAAAGACAAATTAACGTAAAAGAAACAAATCTAAGTAAAAGAGACAGATAAAAATAAAAAAACAGTTCAAAGTAAAATAAATCCGTGAAAGTAAAAAGAAGCAGATAACAGTGAACATAAACCCATAAAAGTAAAAAGAAACAGATGAAAGTAAAAGAAACAGATGAAAGTAAAAAGAAACAGATGAAAGTAAAAAGAAACAGGTGAAAGTAAAAGAAACAGATGAAAGTAAAAGAAACAGATGAAAGTAAAAAGAAACAGATGAAAGTAAAAGAAACAGATGAAAGTAAAAGAAACAGATGAAAGTAAAAGAAACAGATGAAAGTAAAAAGAAACAGATGAAACTAAGAGAACAGATGAAAGTAAAAAGAAACAGATGAAAGTAAAAGACACATATACAAGAAAACAAAAAGGATGAAAGTAAAAAGAAACAGATGAAAGTAAAAGAAACAGATGAAAGTAAAAAGAAACAGATGAAAGTAAAAGAAACAGATGCAGAGAAAACAAAAAAGACGAAAGTAAAAGCACAAATGAAATTAAAAGTATCAAATAAAAGTAAAATAAATATATAAAAATAAAAAGAACAAAGATAACAAAAATCAGATAAAAAATAATATTTAAAGGAACATTTTGAAAGAAAATGTCATAAAAGTAGAGATAAAGCAAATAATGTGAATAGAAATAGAAATTAGAATCAGAAGGTGAAGAGTGTTAGCTAAATATTAAAGGATTAGTTAACGTTATTGGCAATAATAATAACACTGACAATGAAAACGACAGCCCAGAGGCGGGGGTGGAAGGGGGAGTGATTTATTTCCCCTTTTTAGCGAATCAAATCCTTTTTTATTCTTAAAAAAATATTTATCCCAAAAACAATTATTTGTTTATTATCATGATTAGTATTTGACTAGACGACATAAATCTAGAAAACACTGACTAGGGGGTTTCAAGTGTCTAGACTCTAGAAGACGACATAGATCTAGAAAACACTGACTAGGGGGTTTCAAGTGTCTGGACTCTAGAAGACGACATAAATCTAGAAAACACTGACCTAAAAATGAACCCGGCACACAAACCCCCAAAGGCCCTCATCATGGTACACCTAATCTTGAAGTTAATTTTTTAACATTCTTCTGAAATAAATCACAGAATGAGTTTTCTAAATTCAATCATAGAAAAACACCAGAAATCTCTAAATTAAATGCCTCAAATCTGTTTACGGCAGTGGAAGGAGATCATTAAAATAATTTAGTAAATAGGGGCAAAACACCATTTATTTAAGGCTGGAATTTAAAATTATTAGTCCAAAAACATTAAAATTAATAATTCTAAACCTGACATTTTAAAATATAATTAGTTTAATCACAGTATAATCACAAACAAGTTATACAAACATAAACAGTAAACACTGTTCACTTAACTTCAATGTGTAAACTTTACGTCAATTGATGTGTATCAGTGATGTCAATTGATGTGTATCAGTGATGTCAATTGATGTGTATCAGTGATGTCAATTGATGTGTATCAGTGATGTCAAACTTCAATCATGACGTAATTTTTTTTCGAAAGGGCTCAGTTTAAAGACAATTTTCTTTACCAAACGTTGACACATTTCAGTGCTTTTTTTTGTAAAGTTGATAAATTTCAATGCTTTCTTTTTTTAAAGTAAGTACATTTCATGGCTTTCTTTTTGTAAAGTTATACATTTCAATGCTTTCTTTTTTAAAAGTTAATACATTAAATGCTTTCTTTTTGTAAAGTTTCTTCATTTCGATAATAACTCCGAAAGTTAAATTATTTCAATGCTTTCTTAAGTAAAAGCGTTTATATGACACCTGAAACCAAATCGAAAGATTTCGATGCTTTCTTATCTAAAGTTGATACATTTCGATGCTTTCTCTAGCTGTCTTCAACTCGTTTTTTAGCATCCGAAGCATCAATTCGCTTAATGCTATCTTTCTAAATATTAAAATCTTAAAATCTCAAGTATTATTATTCAAAAACCAGAGTTGGGAACTTTTATGTTGGATGCTTATCATTCTAAACGATTGATCTCGATATCCTTTGTGGGCACTTTTAATTTGAGAATCAATGCTTAATCTCTTTATTTCATTTATCCCTGGAGAGTATGATTACTATGCAGGATTTTAAATGAAGATTAATCTGCAGATTAACCTGCAGATCGGTTTTGATCTACACAATACAAGAGTTCCCACCTCAGGAACTAGATTTAATGAATAAGGAGAAGCAGTTGAGCCGCATAATGCCAGTTCAGCCAGGTCTATGTAGTTCAACTACTTCTCATTACTCTGTATTTATAAAATCTGGTTCAGCCAGGTCTATGTAATTCAACTACTTCTCATTACTCTGTATTTATAAAATCTGGTTCAGCCAGGTCTATGCAGTTCAACTACTTCTCATTACTCTGTATTTATAAAATCTGGTCTAGCTAAAAATATTTTAAAATGTGCAGCAATACGATAAACGATTTCTTTATTCCTGTTTTCTGATCTGTTTTGGTCTTGCACTTCTAAATCTAAAAAAAAGATCTGCTTAAAGGGAGTGTTCGCGAAAAATGAAAGGATATATAGGCTTAATGCGATAAAAAATCGCTTTTGATCGCTACTAATCTTTCTTCCATCTGTTGCGCCTGTAAGGAGAAAATTGTTAAATACGTCTGATACCAAAGAACGTAGCGCCCATACAAATTGAGAAAATTGCAACAAACGACTTAGACCGTAAAAAAGTCAACTTAATTTCAAACAAATCATTCAGATATTACAACCTATAGTCATCGATTATCTTTCGCCACATTTGTATATAGTTTATATTTTCTAATATTTTTAATTAATTTTTTATATTTCAATTTTTCAATTTTATCGCATTAAGCCTATACCCCCTTTCATTTTTCGCGAACACTCCCTTTAAGTACGTACATAGAAAAATAAGTATTAAAGGAACAGACGACTAGATTTGAAGTGACAAATTTGAAGAGTTCAATACCAGATTCTACAATAAAACCCTTTTAAAGGAAAATTTCTTGATTTTCTTAAACTAAAAAGTAAAAAAAGTATTTAATTCTGTAAATTTCCTTCTTTTCCATCTGCTCCATAATTTAATAAGTCTTTTTTTGATTTTTTGATAAAAAATCAAACACATCTTAATTGTTTTAGCACAAGAAAAAGGGTTCAAGTCTACTGAGCTGGGAACTATTGTAGATATTAAGATCAATACTTGAGCACGATCTTCTGTTAATCCAAAGATTAATTTAATCTTTGCTCGATTTCCCCAGTGTAATTGTACCCTAAACAACTAAACAACATCTACATTAATAATAATAATAGTAATAATACCTAGAATAAAACCTTTATCCTTGTCTCCTCCGTTTAAGAGTTTAACCTGACAAGTATTGAGTCTAGAGAACCGAAGACTAAATTTTTTTTATTGAAAAATGATCAAAATAGACAAATTCCTGTAGACGATCAATATTTCTATAATTTTTAAAAATATATTCAAAAGAAAATCCATTTTCTATTTGAAAAGAAGGAATCAATTTTTCTAAAAAAAATCCCTGATTTTCTGAAGATACTGTTCCAACTCATCCCTGTTATCCCTGTACACCCTAAATATATTCAATAAAAAAAACATATTTTTAAGCATTTTTGAATTTTTTATTTTAACAGATGGTCAAATTCATTCAAATTAACTAAGTAATGTTTTACTAATTTTATTACGCAATTAGCGGGTTTCATGAATTTGAGGGTTTCATGAATTAGAGGGTTTCATGAATTAGCGGGTTTCATGAATTAGCGGGTTTCATGAATTAGCGGGTTTCATGAATTAGCGGGTTTCATGAATTAGCGGGTTTCATGAATTAGCGGGTTTCATGAATTAGCGGGTTTCATGAATTAGCGGATTTCATGAATTAGAAAGAGAGGGGGATTCTAAGTTTCACTGTTTCTTCTTCTTTTTTATATGATATATTTTTTGTGTGGGTGTAAATCAAATCAGACTTTAAAGTACGTTCTATGACCACACTCCCATCCCAAAATAATGAAATTACTGAATCAGAGTCCGAATTTAATGAGTTTGAGCCGCGTCTCAAATCCCCGAATAACCGGTTTCAATTCAGTGCCGGTTTAAATCTTGAAACATTGAATAGAATTTTAAGTGAAACCAACCCTATTTGATCCGCGTCTCAAATTTAAGCCGCGCCTCAAGTTTTTTAAATTCTGTCTCAGGACTGAAATATACTTCATTTAATTCCAAATAGTTAAAAATGTCTTACCTTGATATGGCCCCAGCATGCTCTCTTGGAGTTCCTACAGTCACATCAAAAAGATTTAAGTTTTAAAAAATTATCTTAATCTTTGTATTATGCTTTACTAAAAATAGAAATCTCCNCCGACAAAAAACATGTTTGTAAGCTCACAGGCCTCGGAATCCTTAAAATCTACAAAAGACAAAAAAGATGTCGCGGTTAAAATAGTTTTGCATTGTGTGTGCATTATACAAACTGAGGGGCGTACATATACATTTTTGATTTTGATTTTTTAACAGGCCACTCAATAAGGACCAGTGCTAAGGATTCATTTAACTTTGATGCGGAACCAGAATCCGGACCCGGATGCGGAACCAGGTCATGAACATTTATTTAAGATTTTCTGATTTTATTTAAGAGAACAAGAATTTAATTATTTAACTTCTGTTTATTCGTTATTTTGATAATAAAGTTTTTCATAATTTTTTCTTAAAAGATTTTTGTTTTAGTTTAGGGTTGATATTTTGCTCCTTGGATCCAGGATCCGTGGATCCGCATAATTGTGTGGATCCGAATTTAGGAAGCCAAAATGTTGCGGATCCCGATCCTAAGCACTGATCAGGACTAAAACAAACTGATACATTTACGTCATATAATGCACTTTATGTTCGTTTGAACGCAACTCTAATGTAAAAATAAATTATTGGGGAGAAATATTTTATTCCTAATTGTTCCAGTTCTTCAGCTAGCACAGAATATTCTACGCGATTCTTCCCACCTGCCTTAAATAAAAATTCAAGATGAAAAAAAGTTAAAAATACAAAAATGTTCCCTTTCATCAGATCTTCTCCTTTCATCAATCCAAATGTTCTGCACACTCCTGTATGCCGAGTCAATTAGCGCCTGATCCAATCAGGGTTCAGTCATGTGTTTGTTGTCTCCTCTGAACCAATAGAAATAGTATGGCAGTAACATCTATCTTTCTATCTGTCTTGTTATCCAATTAGAGATATGAATCCTTCAATCGGCGCTATCAGTAAATGGAAATATTTACTTCTACTGAAACTATAGTGCGCAAACGTACATAATCTTCACTGCCAATAAAAGTTAAGAAATACGACGATACCTTCAAATTACCTATCTTATGTAAAGGTTTGGAGGTTTCTGCTGTAAATCGTAGACGCTCCTCTACAATGAAGGTTAATTAAAATAACACCGGCAGTCGCAATAATCGACCTGAGAAAAGGACATACTAAAAAAGTTGACAGCTGAGACATTGGACCTTGACGGCGGACGCACTAATATGGGTCCTCATTGAGAACTCACAAATCAGAACAGTATACACTATAATAAAGGTGTTTGACATCAAGTTGCAAAGATATCAGAATTAGAATATTACGAATGATGGTAAATGCTCAGATCTTTGCAGAAACTAATTTCAATCTTTTATCAACCTAAACTTCTCCCCAAACTAAATTCTCAGTTTAAAATGATTGTCTTACCATGGCAATCCATTCCAATGCAGACACAACAGCCAGCAATTCTAAACAAAATAATATCATACGTAAAAGTAAGATTTAAATAATCTGAGGTTATTGGATTGGAAGTTAATTAATAAAAAATTGAAAATTTTAGAATAAAAATATTATCAAAAGAGACTTTACAATATATATATTTATGTGATTTTCAGTGGTATGTCTGATTCACAACGGGACCCTTTAAACCTTTGTTAGACCCAGGATGAATGAGATATCCTTATTTTTTTACAATTGTTATTTCTCTGTAAAAGTAATTTTACGATTTAAGCTGTAGAGACAATGATGGAATTTATGACAATTTAGCAAGTAAGAAAAACAACGATAAGAGGTTTTTATAAAGGGTACAATTGTGAATTAAGCATGCACTGTAATCCATTAGATGCAAGCCCTCGCACAAAAACCGAACCTAAGATTTTGCCAATTACTCCATCTGAGTTTAAGCTGAAACCAAGCACAGTGCAGTTTTGAAATGTCCTGGGTAACATAAAAAGTATGTGTGAGTTGGTGGCCGCTTGGGTAGAACCAAGACGATGCTTCAAAGTCTAAAAATCAGATGCATAACTTTTCCGGTTGATTTGGTTTGGTCACTTGGAATATAATATACAGTCCCTTGAATAAAGTATCCTACCTTGTTTAATAAAGTATCTGTTTCGCTACTTAGCGATTTCCCTAAAGACCTAATATATGTACCGTGTGNTGATCATACCTTGTTTATTTATTTTCAAGGAGATAGCCTTGAATAAAGTATCCTACCTTGTTTATCTATTTTTAATGAGCTAGCCTTGAATAAAGTATCCTACCTTGTTTAATAAAGTATCCTACCTTGTTTATTTATTTTCAAGGAGCTGGCCTTGAATAAAGTATCCTACCTTGCTTATCTATTTTCAAGGAGCTGGCCTTGAATAAAGTATCCTACCTTGTTTCTTTATTTTCCAGGAGCTAGCCTTGAATAAAGTATCCTACCTTGTTTATCTATTTTCAAGGAGCTGGCCTTGAATAAAGTATCCTACCTTGTTTATCTATTTTAAAGGAGCTGGCATTGAATAAAGTATCCTACCTTGTTTATCTATTTTCAAGGAGCTGGCCTTGAATAAGGTATCCTACCTTGTTTATCTATTTTTAAGGAGCTGGCCTTGAATAAAGTATCCTACCTTGTTTATCTATGTTTAAGGAGCTGGCCTTGAATAAAGTATCCTACATTGAATATCTATTTTCAATGAGCTGGCCTTGAATAAAGTATCCTACCTTGTTTAATAAAGTATCCTACCTTGTTTATTTATTTTCAAGGAGCTGGCCTTGAATAAAGTATAGGATTTCAAGATCTTCAATACTCAGAACACTTCCCAACAGTGTAGAGGATAATATCTTTAGAAAGAAATTGACAACATTTTATTTTTGAATCTTTATTAGAAAACGCGAGTCTTTGCCACAAACTCTTTAACAACATTCTGTTAGATCAAATAGTCTAAGCTTGAAATATCAATGGTTTACATTATCAGGTTGTAAAGATATAGGGACTAGAAAATTGGAATTTGTGGCAAAGGCTCAATTGCTTTGCTTTAATTTCAGAGAATTAAATAATTCCTCAAACAAAAAGTCTAAACATTGAAAGTTTTTGTTAAAACATTTTAATTTTCAACTTCAAAAGAAGAGATAATTGTTAATTGGTAAATGGACCAACTAATTAAAAACACACCAACTAGATGAAAACACTTTACTTTCATCGAAGAGTTTTTCTAATATCTTTTACTACGAATTCTTTATTATTTTACCCTTTTTGATAAATATGTACTTATGTGATTCTAAAACTTTTGCCAAATAATTATGCCTTAATGCAGAGCTGCCTCAATCTAGAAAAATCACATTTATAAAAAAAAAAATTTCGTGACCATTACAGACGGATTTTTGTAAAATAAATATAAAAATTTTATTAAATGATTTTTTCCTGATAGCACTCATTTTCGATATTTCTCCAATCTGGGCTAAAACCTAACAAAAATTTACTAAGTCAGATCGTTTTCTGAGACTTCCCCAACACCTAATCTTTTCCATATATTTAACACTCCTTCCAAATGAAATGAAATAAAATGAAATCAATTCAGATCAATTGAAACCAAACCTAACCTAACCTAACCAAACCTAACCTAAACAAACCAAACCAAACCAAACTCTCAGGGTGCCCTTCTCTCAACTTTCATACAGTGAATCCCAGATATAGGAAAAGGAATACATATCAAGAGTTTTCTATAATGTTGTAATACATATTTAAGATCAAATGCCGCGGAAAAATGCATTCATATTTCAGGGATATCAATTTATCTTGAATTGAAAATAAAAAGAAGTTTCTTTAGAATTATACATTATGCAAAATTCTTGCTATGTTTTCATATATCTGGGATTCACTGTACTAAATCAGGTATAAAGAAAGGTGTAGACGGCATTATATCTTTCTTTCGAGTTAAATGACTTTTTAAGGTTTTATATCCCGGATGAAAATTTATCTGTTTTTCTGATTATTTCTATCTATTTTTGAAAACCACTAGAGCCGCAGAGCGGACATTCGACATTTTGCCAGACTACCAATAAAGCCTGCAGCCTTGTATTTCGGACGTTCCCCCGCTGTTAAATGAATACTTATTATTCTTCATTTAAAATAATGCATGTTATTCCAGAACTTCTATTATTAAAATAATTGTTTACCATCAATTAGTGAGAGAGGGTTTGCATCAAAACTAAGTGCATAATGAATGAGAAAAAATGTAAATTTTATTTTAATTGGCTAGAAAAAAAGAGTACAAACAACATAAAGATCATACGAGTTGGGAATCGGTTTTATTTTAATCAATTTTTATTTTATTTTAATCTCAGAAGTTCAACTTATTTTAAAGTTTGCTTATACTGCTAAATAGTCTGGCAGGAGAGATATATGTCTAAACGGGAAAATCGTTAGTTAACAATGATTTTGCTTTGATCAGGGTTGTATCTTTTTTTTCAATGTTATCATTTTCGGAAATTTTTTTAAGAAAAGTAACAAAATCGCTATCTGATGTCTTTCTAACATTTTCAGAAGAATGTAATGACAACTCTACGCAAAAATAACAACATTGAACAAGATTGTAACTGTAATCCAAGTGATATAACAAAATTGTATGTAAAAAGTAATTTAACTTTTGCACAAGTTTCTAATGAATATTTTTGAAAATTCCTTTTTTAAAGGAATTGTTATCTATTAGATCAAATAAATTTTAAGTTCCCAGTTTTTAAAGGGATGAACTGTCCCAAATAATTAACCCCTTGTGCTGTGACATATATATATATATATATATAATATATATATATATATAAATAAATAAATGTTTTGTAGTCTTAAATTTCCTATATCCTTATATTGAATCTATTGAATCTACCGTTATGTGTTCGAAACAAATATATATCAATAATAATAAATAATAGTGATAATAGTAATAATAGTAATAATAGTAATAATAGTAATAATAGTAATAATAGTCATAATAGTCATAATAGTAATAATAGTGAAAAAAGTGAAAAAAAGTGAAAAAAATGATGATAGTAATGATAGTAATGATAGTAATGATAGTAATGATAGTAATGATAGTAATGATAGTAATGATAGTAATGATAGTAATGATAGTAATGATAGTAATAATAGTAATAATAGTAATGATAGTAATGATAGTAATGATAGTAATGACATTAATGACAGTAATGACAGTAATGACAGTAATGACAGTAAAGACAGTAAAGACAGCAAAGAAAGTAATGACAGTAATGACAGTAATGACCGTAATGGCAGTAATGACAGTAATGACAGTAATGACAGTAATGATAGTAATGATAGTAATGATAGTAATGATAGTAATGATAGTAATGATAGTAATAATAGTAATAATAGTAATAATAGTAATAGTAGACTGGGGGGAACTCACCCAGTCTGGACAATCCTGATCACCGCAAAATGTGAACTTCATTCTTCTGAAATAAAATTGCTAAAATATGAGAATAGTTCAATGAAAAATCAGTTTATCACAGACTGAACATATATAATCACAGAGAGGTAAAATTGAGGTAAAATTATATCACATGTAAATCAGACAATTTAGAAATTAAAAATAAGAATTTACTTTTCTTAAATTGTTCCTAGTATAAAGTGCTAACACAAAAAAAAGGGAATTGAATGAAAAAGTGATGGGGGGGGGGAAGCCTGGGGTAAAAGGAGAAGATGGGATGATTTAAATATGTTTTTGTAGAAAGAAATAGAAAGTAACAAACCTACATGTGATGAAGATTGAAATAATTGTTAAAAACTAAAAAATGAGAAAAAATTCGGAAAATCGAATATATCTTGAAAACGCAGTTGTTTAGAACATTAATTGTGAATATTTCAAAAAATAATAAGTTCTAGTTCTGAGTATTGTTTTAAACATGTTAGCTGTCTAATAACATTCCTTTAGTGAAAGAATAGCATCCTTTCTCAGTTCGGTTTTTGCACGGGCAAAATTTCTAATTGATTTGTCGGAGTTCTTCTTCAGAAATTCTTTCTCTTCTTCACTCAGCTCTTCCCCGCTTTTTATCAAAGAATTCAAGATCTCCAGTTTTTTAGGCACATAAACTTTCTAGTGTAAACAAAAATAATTGATTTTGAGAACTATCGAAACTTTCAAATTAAATACAAAGATTTAAAATGAAGAACATTTTTTTGCCAAAATTTTGTTGGTTTAAAAAATAGCTAACTTCAAAACACATCTTTAAGCATTCGCCACAAATTCGAACTTTATTTTTCCTTTACCTTCTCAGCCTGGTGGTTTATATAGCAACTTTGACTTGTTTATCTAGCATAATACATTGTTCGAAATGGTGAACGACATCAGGTAGCAAAGATATAGGAATTAAATAATCTGTTACTTTATATATAAAACTAAAAGCCATAATTTAATGTTTCCTGATCTAATTTCCCAACTTGATAATCTCTGTCCAGGTCTTGAAGCTTCTCTCTGTATCTTTGCGGTTCCCTCCTGGCGAACATTTTCAGGATTTCCGGGGCTTTGGACGCCTAGACAGGAATATTAGGTACTTTCCCAAAAGCTTCTTTCCAAGTGGCGACTTCTTAAGGGTATTTTCTCAAGTGGCAACGTCGCAAATGTCCAATTTCCCAAGCGGCAGCTTCCTAAATCTGTCCTAGTCGATGAGCTCGGCCCCCCATAATCCATCCTAGCCGCTGCGCTCGGGCCTATTGCAGCCTGCGGGCCTAATCTAATCTTTGGAAAATTGCCGCTTTGGAAATTGAACATTTGAGAAGTTGCCACTTAGGAAATTGTCACTTATGAAGTCGCCCTTGGGACTTATCTTTATGATCGGGAGATCAAGCCTGATCATTAACATAATCATAATCATAATCATAATCATAATCATAATCATAATCATAATCATAATCATAATCATAATCATAATCATAATCATAATCATAATCATAATCATTACCATTACCATTACCATTACCATTACCATTACCATTACCATTACCATTACCATTATCATTATCATTATCATTATCATTATCATTATCATCATTATTATTATTATGGAAAACGAAACAATTAGTTCGACTTTAACCAAAAAAAATTAATATCCCAAAAGTTTTTGTTGTCTGTAATATAATTTTAATTCCCCTAATTTTCTGATTATCCCACCTAGAAAAATACAAAGTATGTAAAATACAAAACCTTGAACAATTTACATAATCTTTAAAATAGTGTTATATAATTATTTAATCTAGATATATTGTTGAGCCCCCCCCCTCCCCCCCCCGCACCTGAAAAATGAAAATCATTTAAAATTTTAAAGTAACTCTTAGTTTTTTAAATTTATTTTTAAATTAACTTGCATGAATAAATTAAGATTAGATATTTGCAATGTAAATAAAACCAGAGTAATATTTTATCTATGGAATAGAAAAAGTACATTTGTACATTTTCAATTTTCAAATAGAAAACCAAGGATATCTCAATTATCTCAACCCAAACAAACATTTAAAGAGTTCATCGACATGCATCTTTAAAAATAGCGTGTCACTTTAAATTTCCTCGACAGTACCTCTAAAAGAGATTAAAATTAAAACAAAAAATGTACTTTCAATAAAGTTTGCGAGAATAACGGTAATTTCACAATTTCTAACACTAAGTACAGTAGCAAGGGCGCGAGTAAAGGCACTGAAACATAACTTGAATATCCGTAATCCTAGAATTCAACATTTTCTGACTTGTCATGCTCCACTCTCTCCGGTGAAAATACAAGGGGTCGAAGAAATAAGTACTTATGAAGGGAAAGAGGGGGGGGGGGGTCCCAATAAAGGGACTGCTCCAGTAATTTACAGTGAATCTCCCGTGCAAAGATGACAATGCCAGATCCGTAATGGTAACTTTTAAGTTTTGCCTGAACTAAGTTTGCGTTATGCACTTTTTAGTAAATACTGATTCCAAGATATAAAGTAATATCATTATTAAGTATAAGATTATATATCAATGTTAAAAGACTAAAAACTGTTTATCTTCAATTGTGGTTACTCTACAAAAGTGATTTACGCATTTCTACTGCAGGAAAAAGACAGGAAATATTAGGAATTAAAACATTCCAAACTTGAAAAAAACCTTACAAAAACCATCTTTGCATAGAGGGTAGCTTAAAATTACTCTTACAGTCCATAGATTAGAACGGTGTTTATAGATTGGTTATATTGTATGCCGTACACATTATACACAAGGAATTGAACTCTCCACCGATAATACGGTTTAATCTGTACATGCAGTACACGGGGTTTAGTCTGTACATGCAGTACACGGGGTTTAGTCTGTACATGCAGTACACGGGGTTTAATCTGTACATGCAGTACACGGGGTTTATTTATGAAGATCTCAATATCACAATTCTTTAACTAACATTTTTTAAAACTATATCAAATTTGATAGAAAAAGTGATGTGTGGGTCCAACGAGTCCAACAAGACTATATCACAACTACAAAAACTCTTACACAAAAGGGGGTGAGCGAGGGTCGTAAATTTAAGCAAAAAGCATAAATTTAAAAAAAAAATCAAAAACTATTTTATTTTTACTTTTATGAGATCCAAAGACGTCGATATCGTCACATCATAAAATTGAACTGAATAATTTTAATTAACATATGTTTGTCGTGAGAAGTTTGAAGTTTGGAATTGAACAAAATTTTTATAATCAAATACCGTACTGCGTCTGCAGTTCTCACAATTTTCCAAGGTTCATTGTAATCATTAATATGGTGGCCTTATTATATTTTTCTCAAGTTCTCAACACCAACAAAGTTCAAACCCAGATTCCTAATAAATGTTGTTCAAACCAGATTCCTAATAAATATTATTTAGTATAACTAACTCTGTACTTGGAAAAACCAATTATCAAAAGTCACATTACAGAGATTAAGTTTCAATTTAAGTTTTAATAGCAAAAACAAATATTTTTGAATCTTAAACTCTTATGATGTTAGGTTGACAAACTTGGCCCCATTCATAATTTTTCTGGAACATCAGAACATTTTTAGCAACCTGGCGTGATTATACTATTCCAGCTATGGTTTGGTTAGATTAGTTACGCAAGGTTGCCAGACTAGATTTTTGAGTGGCCTCCCCGTCCATGGCAATTGATGTGTTTTCTGTTGGGTCGTTTATCAGTTGTTTTTTCTTGTATTTTCTTTTAGGGTCGAAATGTGGCATAATGTAAATGTTTTCTAAATTTTTATTTTAAACATTCCCCTTCTTGAAATTTGTCAAATCTTTACCCTTGCAGAAGATATATGCAAAAGACGACCCCAAAGCGATCCAAAAACAATTAAAAACGAACGTATAGTAGCGATCGTTTTAAGATTCTTTTTCTAATTTTTTTTATGGATAAATTTATTGCAACGTATCATTAAAGCAAACTTTAACATACAAGATTTAAATCATGAAAGTTTTATCTTCTTTTTCTATAAAGGATACAAAAGGATTAATGGCACTTACTTTCAGATTTTACCAAAAAACTTATACTTTAGAACAAAAATTGTTACCTCAGCGATAGCGGCCTGAGTAGCCATCCTTATAGACGATACACCATCAACTATATTTAGAAATATTAAAAATTTTCTTCATGTTCTACACTTTTCGGAATAAAAAGGAAATATTACTGCAGAATTTTATTTATAGATATTAATTCAAAAGGATCTAAAAATGTATCGAAAGGAGTGGCAAATATACATTAAAAAACATCGTCTAATTTATTTATAAAATTAACAGGCCCGTGACCACAATTTTTACAAGAGGAGTGCAAAGAGTGGTGTTGTATTATGGGCCCAGGTTCTCCGAGTGAAATGTAGTGAACGAGGCGGGGGGCTGCAGGGGGGAGCAGAGAACCCCTTGCATGGAAAACTTTCATAATTTTGGTATAAAAACGAGAAAGGTAGCTTAATTTTATGTTGTGTAGGATATTTTCTAAATTGTCAACAACACTAGTAATTTCAGCTTGAACTTACAGTGAAAATTCAATTTTTTCCTGAATTTGATGTTTTGTATGCAACTAGGAAAATTTTCATAATTTAGATTTTAGCTAGAAATTTTACAATATTGGAAGACAGAAAATGTTGATTCCTTTGATATTACTACTCAAGTTCTCTGATTTTGTATGGACAAAATATTAAATTTTTGTAGAAAGGGGGTGCACCTGACCCCATTGCACCCCCCCTGGTTACGGGCCTGAGTCAATTGAGATTGAAGTTTATTCGTTTTTTTACCGAGGTTTCAAACAGCATGGTAATAACATAGAAACAAAGAGAAGGTGTCAATTTGATTACTTTTAAACTTGTAATTTGAAAAAAGATTGTTAGCATTCAATACTTAAACAGAAAAGTCGTCTTCATTGTATTGATATAATGGCCGACACTGTAGAAAATCACAAATGAAAATATTAAATTTCAAAGCTACAAAACGTAGATCTCACTCATTCTTGATCACAAACCGTTGTTAATTAATATATGCCATGATGGCACTCTACAAAGGGTAACATGTAATAACGTCTACAGTCTCTTCAAAAAGAATAAATCTTTATATTTCATTCCTAAACTCATATCTCCGCTTAGCATTCGACCAAGAGATCTTTCAAACTCCGACAACTACAAAATATACAGATCTAATTTAATGTGCTTGTCTGAAGAGGGAGGGAACCCCCGGACGCCATGAGCCTCTGCTATGCAGCACGAGCCTCTCAGATTTGCTATGCAGACCAAGCCTCCTCTATGCAGACCGTGCCTCTGCTATGCAGTGAACGAGCCTCCACCATAGAGAACCAATTTTTTTAAATCTTGGTTTTTATGTGTAATATAAAATGTTAACATTTATTTTTGACATAGTGGCATGAGAGGTTTCTCAAAGATGAAAAGTATTTATCAATTTTCAGAAATAGTGCCTAACTATGGCTAATAAAGTGGCATATAAAACTTTAAACATTCGTTACATGAAAAGAAAATATTTGAAGAAAAAAACGTGAATTGAACTTCATTTCATCTTTTATAATCTTTGATTTAAGCAATACCTTTTTGTAGTTCAAATTAAATCTAGAAAATTTGTATAATTTATTAAAATCTTAACATTTTTCAAAAAAAGGTATTGTTTAAATCAAAGAATACAACAAAACAAACTAAATTTAGTCCAGAAATATTTCTCCAAAATAAGAAATGTTAAAATTTTTAGTATAAATCTTATAAACCACTTTATGAGTCCAAATATGTTTTTAATCATGACAATCAATAAATAAATCTAATCTTTAGTAAAATTCTTATGTCACTACGTCAAAAAAAATTGTTAACATTTTTCATTACACATAAAAACCAAGGTTTAAAAAAGCTGTTCTGTATGGTTGAGGCTCGTTCACTGCACAGTGGAGGCAAGGTCTGCATAGCTGAGGCATGGTGTGCATAGTGGAGGCTAGGTCTGCCTGGCAAATCTTGGAGGCTTGTGTCTGCATAGCAGAGGCTCATGGCTTCAGGGGTTCCCTCCCTCGTCTGAACTATGTTTACTTGATTTAGTGTATCCTGTCTGAACTGCGTATAATCTACTTGATCTAATGTATTCTGTCTGAACTGTGTATACTCTACTTGATTTAGTGTATCCTGTCTGTACTGGGTATACTATACTTGATCTAATTATCCTGTCTGAATTGCGTATACTCTACTTGATTTAGTGTATCCTGTCTGAACTGTGTATACTCTACTTGATCTAATGTATTCTGTCTGAACTGCTCATACTCTGCTTTATCTAATGTATCCTTTCTGGACTGCGTATACTCTACCGGATCTAATGTAGCCTGTCTGAACTGCGTATACTCTACTTGATCTAATGTATCCTGTCTGAACTGCGCATACTCTATCTGATCTAGTGTATCATGTCTGAACTGTGTATACTCTACCTGATATAATGTTTCCTGTCTGAACTGCGTATACTCTACCTGATCTAGAGTATCATGTCTGAACTGCATATACTCTACCTGATCTAGTGTATCCTGTCTGAACTGCGTGTACTCTACTTGATCTAGTGTATCTTGTCTGAACTGCGCATACTCTACCTGATCTAGTGTATCATGTCTTAACTGCGTATACTCTATCTGATCTAGTGTATCATGTCTGAACTGTGTATACTCTACCTGATATAATGTTTCCTGTCTGAACTGCGTATACTCTACCTGATCAAGTGTATCATGTCTGAACTGCGTATACTCTACCTGATCTAGTGTATCCTATCTGAACTGCGAATACTCTACCTAGTCTATTGTATCTTGGCTGAACTGCGTATACTCTATCTGATCTAGTGTTTCTTGTCTGAACTGCGTATACTCTATCTGATCTAGTGTTTCTTGTCTGAACTGCGTATACTCTATCTGATCTAGTGTTTCTTGTCTGAACTACGTATACTCTACCTGATCTAGTGTATCCTGTCTGAACTTCATATACTCTACCTGATCTAGTGTATCTTGTCTGAACTGCGTATACTCATCTTCATCCATTTCAGCCCTAGGTATAAAATGAGATTTTTAAAATGTTTAGGAAACTCAAGGTAAAAATTCAAAAAGTAAAACTAAAAGTCAAGTTTAGATAATTCTAGGTAATGCAACAATGCAACATTGGCTAATAAGTCATTTGTTATTGCTTAGATAAGGCAATGAAAGCGGTAGTTTATCAAATTTTTATGGGTCCATACTGACACAGTACAACTACCTTGTAGCATCTATATCTGCCAGCTGTTCTAGCAATCTATCCAACTAAAACATATTAAATCATTTTCACTTCTCAAACGAGGGGGGGGGGGGAGTGCAGAAGTCCTCAATGAGTAATCACCTCCACCCAAACATGTTTTGCGGCAATGCTCTATTCATAAGTTCACAACTTTACCCTTAAATGTGGTTTTACTAAAGTAATTTGAGCATTTCTATTGCAGAAACCACATTATTATATATCATAACTACGATACTTACGATTCTATAAAAACGGCAATTAAGCAGAAAATGGGTTCAAGGGTACCGTTGTGAATCTGTCATTGCCATCTTTAAAATTACGCTTTCAGACCCATTCATAATATATCTTTAAGCACTATTATAGGCTCACGATATTATCCAGGTGGGTGAGGGCTGGTTAAGAGGCTCCGCCGCAGGGAAACTTTTTTATTCTTGAAACCACGGCCCGCTTATAGATATGATTCTATCTATCTATCTACACTGAACTCGGCCACAGTACAAATTTTATTTTGGTAATTTTTTCCATGGGCCTACCAGCTGATGTAGCAAACCGGACCCTAGATTTGTTGTGTTTATTTTAGGGGCATATTTATGTTTTTTTTAATGTTTCTTTTATACAATTTTTTATTTTTTTTTTTCAAAATAGATTTTTTTTTGT